AGGGGAGAGTCAGATAAGAGAGGGCAAATAAAAATAAATAAAATAAAAAATAAAAATAAAGAAAGGGAGATGATCAGAGATGTATAAGGGGTGGAGAGAGAGGAAGAATAGTACTTTTGGATAAGCAAGGTTCTGTTAAGGAAGATTTATAATGAAGCTCAGAGAGCACCAAGGACCCCACAACCTTCCTCCTCCTCCTCCTCCTCCTCCTCCTCCTCCTCCTTTCCACAATCCCCCTGCCTTCCTAGCACTGATTATATTGCCTAGTTGGGTCACGAAACATTTGTAAGAAAACAACCCAGCTCAGAGAGCACCAATGAACCCCTCCCACCAACTTCTCACACCTGGAGAGGCAGCTCTAACTCTTTCTTCTTCGGGCCAGGTGCTGCAAAATACATGACGACTGCTATGCTAAAGCCGAAAGCAGCAGCTGCAACCCCAAGTGGACGATGTATGATTACTACTGTAACAGCGAGGGACCCTACTGCAGAAGTAAGTATCACAAACCCCAACCAACCCGTCTTTCCAAGACAGGGCCATGCAGGAGCAACTTTGTAGGCTGTCCTGAGTCCCAGGCTTGGTTGAGCCTTTGCTGGATGATGATGTCATGAAAAGGGCAATTCCTATTATAGCTCTACCTGAAGGAGGTCTTTGTTATGTAAAATGTTCTGGCCCAGGCCTTAATGGCCCACCCATTAACAAAGGTGGGGGTGAGTTTCTGCTTCTGAGTTTCTACTCTTTTTAGGGGAAATATTCTGCCTTTTAAATATTTCCTAGGATATTTCAATTTTCTAGGAGAGGGGTGGGTGCTACCTTCCTACAGGGGTGTCGTTGTGAGAGCACAATGCAAGTTCTATCCCTTTTCATCTAGGCGCACAACTTCATAACGGGTATTGAAAAGACACAGGGCTGCGTCTCGCAATAGTGCAGCGTTTATTTTGGTCATGCCTCCCCCGAGGTTCACCATTTCCTTCTTCCCTCCAGATATCAAAAAGAAGTGTCAACGTTCTGTGTGTGATTGTGACGTCGAAGCAGCCTTCTGCTTTGCCAGAACCCCTTACAACAACTCGAACTGGGATATCGACACCGAGACACATTGCCAATGATATTTGAGAGGCTTCAGCGCAAGGACTGTGGCAGTTACTCACCTGCGCGTGGCAATTCTCTGGATGGGCCTCTATTATATATATAAAAATAGAATGTAATAGAATATATATATATATTAAAACAAAAGGAACCGTTTCCTGAACAATAAAGTGAGGTGCCGATACCGGATTAGGTTTTCTGCTCCGTTTTCTTTTATTTACAGGAAGGAAAGTCCTGTGTTCGGTATTGGAGTCCATGACTTATCCTCAGAATCTTTTGCAAGGTTGCTGCATTATTATTTTTTGGATGGGGGCTGTGAGATTCAGACATGCTCTCTCTGTGTGTGTATGTGTGTGTGTGTGTGTGTGTTTATGTGTATAAGAGAGAGAGGGAGGGAGAGGGAGAGAGAGGGAAAGAAAGAGAGAGTGAGGGAGAGAGAAGGAGATAAAAGAGTGGGAGGGAGAAAGAGGGAGAGGGAGGTGAAGAGAAAGAGAGGGGGAGGGAGAGAAAGAGAGGGAGGGAGAGGGGGAA